CTCCTCCTCCTCCTCCTCCTCGGTATGCCTCCTCCCCCCATTCCCAATGCTCCTCCTGCCTCCTGCGTCCTTTTCCTCCTGCTGCTTTCCCTCTCCCTCCTCTCCTCCTCCTCCTCCTCCTCCTTCTCCTCCTCCTCCTCCTCTCCTCCTCCTCCTTCCTCCTCCTCCTCCTCCCTCCTCCTCCTCCTCCTCCTCCTCCCTCCCTCCCCTCTCCTCCTCCCCTCCTCCTCCGCCTCCCCTCTCCATCCTCCGCCTCCTCCTCGTTTCCATCTTCCCCCCCCCCCTCCTCCGCCTCCCCCTCCTCCTGCCTCCTGATTCGGCTTCCTGCCTCCTCCTGGGGACTCTTCGGGCCTCCTGGGGCCTCCTGGACCCTCCTGGCCTCCCTGGACATCCTGGGGCGTCCTAGGGCACTCCTTTTCCTCCATGTCCTCCTCGTCCTTTTCGCCCTCTGCTCCCTCCTCCTCCTCCTCCTCGTCCTCTCTCCTCCCTCTCCGCTCCTCCTCTCCTCCTCCTCCTCCTCCTCCTCCTCCTCCTCCTCCTCCTCCTCCTCCTCCTCCTCCTCCTCCTCCTCCGCCTCCTCTTTCTCCTCGTGCGGAACACGACCCAGAGGAAGAAGCGCACGACGTGCGTCCCGGCGGATACGCGCCAGAGGACGACCAAAAGGAAGCGCGCGCCGGAGGACGACCTGGAGGAAACACGAGAGGCGCGGGCCCCATAGGGAGGGGGCTCCCGCATGGGCCGTCATCACAGCCCACTCACAGACGAGGTTCCCGCCTGACGCTTCCCCCATATTCTGACCCAGGAACCCATAAGTGACGACAGTTACAGGTTCGAAGATGACCCGCTCGGATTACCAACGTGAAGTGCGGGCCCAACAGGGACGGGGTTCCCGCCTGAGACTTCCTCACAGCTCACTCACAGACGAAGTTCCCGCCCGATACCTCCCCCATATTCAGGCCTCAGCGTCGACAGTTACAGATTCGATGATGACCCGCTCGGGTTACCAACATGAAGTGCGGGCCCCAGAGGGAAGGGGCTCCCGCCCCAGACTTCCTCACAGTTCACTCACAGACGAGGCTCCCACCGAATGCTTCCTTCCCCCTATATTCAAGCCTCACGAGACCAAAAGTGACGACGGTTACAGGGTCGAGGATGACCTGCTCGGATTACCAACATGAAGTGCGGGCCCCATAGGGAGGGGGGTTCCCGCCTGAGATTCCTCACAGTTCACTCACAGACGAGGTTCACGGCCTGATACTTCCTCCATATTAAAGCCTCGGGACCCCAACGCGACGACAGTTACAGGGTTGAGGACGACCCGCTCGGATTAAAAACATGAAGTGCGGGCCCCATAGGGACGGGGCTCCCGCCTGAGACTTCCTCACAATTCAGTCACAGACGAGGCTCCCGCTTGATGGTGCTGAGTGATGAGAGTGTGTGTGTGTGTGCGATGTGCGATTGAATACGATGATGATGGCGGTGGTGGTGATGTTGCTGATGATGACGATCGATGGCCGAGGGTGATCGTGATGAATGGTGAACGACTGAGTATGATGATGGTGGTGGTGATGATGACCAGTGGTGATGATGACCGATGACGGGGTGAATACGTGAGCGAGGCGGAGAGTGGGAGGGGGGATCCTGCGCGGAGGGTGTCCAGAGAAAACTACTCCGACGGTAGGACCCCGCATAATAATCTGTTCAGCTCCCCCTTAGCCCCCTCCTCCTCTCCCTGGCGGACACTCTCCTATCACCCTCTGCGCTGCCCTCTCCGCCTCCCTCTATGTTTCCTCCTCCTATTCCTCATCCTCCTCCACCTCCTCACCCCCTCATCATCGCCCTCCCCCATGCTCCTTCCCTCCTCCTCATCCTCCGCCCGCGTCTTCTCCACGCGCGCCTCACCGCCCCCCTGGTCGGCGCAAGCAAATGGACGTTCCTCGGCGCCCTCGCCGCCCGGGCAACGCGAGGTCTCGCGCGGGCGGCCGCAGGATCAGCATGTTCCGCACGCGCGTGGCGGGGGGGAACATGACGTAGAGGTGCAGCCGACACTGCTCGTCCGACATGCCCGTGCGACCAGCGTCCTCACCCCTGGCGCAGTCGATGGCGACGCCCTTGCGCAGCGTCTGACCCTGCGACAGCGCGGAGGTCAGATGGGACACGCGCGCCAGGGTGAACCCCGAGCGGCGCACGCCGTGCGGCCCCGAGCTCTGCCACGTGAGCTCCTGCTCGCTGGGCCCGAACATGAGCAAGCTCCTCGCCCGCGCCTCGGCCGCGCCGTCGTCGTCAGCGCCGTTGGCGCTCTGCAGCAGCACCTCGGCGACCTCCTTGTAGATCGGGGACTCCTTGAAGCCGTGGACCTGCATCCCGATCCCCTGCGGTAGGTAGCGGGGGCGAAAAAGCTGTCCCGGCGCGCACTCCTCGCAGTCTCGCTCGTCGCCTGCGTGAAACTCGAAGGACACGACGGTGGCCCGTTGCTCCTGCGCGAGCACACACACTTCTTCTTCAGCTCTTCCTGCACGGCCGTGAACCGAACCTCCATGCTGACGCGTGCTGGTAAGACGCCGTGGATGTCCCCCGTCTTGTGCATGTTCGGGACGTTCCGGAGGCGGCGGCCTGCGTCTGGGTCACCTTGAACCGTGCCGCACTCGTCTGCGGCCTGCAGGAAAACGAGGGGCGCGCCCAGACGCCGCGCGTCACGACGAGCACGCGCGTTGATCCACCTCGCGAGCGTCTCCCAGTAGATGCCCATGCCGAAGCCGAGCCGACTGTTCTCGCGCTGGTGCCGAGGATCCAGGACGCCGCGGTTGTCCGAGGCCAACGTGTTTTCCCAGGCAGACCAGACCTCCGGCAGGAAGCGCTCGCCCTCGCGCATGCAGCCCAAGAACGCGATAAGAGGGCCCCCGGGCTCGACGCGCTTCGTGCCCTTCAGCTCGAAGACGCAGGGGATGCGAGAGAAGGCGCTGATGGCGCGCTGAATCTCCACCGTCGGCGGCTCCGCGTACTTGAAGGACCCGTCGCCCTGGCGCTCGTTCACGTGCGTCAGGAGTTCGATGCTACCAGTGAACTTCAGCTGTAGGAAGTCGCCGAGGTGCAACACGATGGGGACGCGCCCGAAGTTGCGATGCGGCCTCTTGTAGGTGGACTCCTGCACGACACGCGTGTCACTGCGCCCGTGGCAGGCGCGAAAATCCAGCGCGTTGTACAGAGCAGCCGCCACCATGCTCACCTCCTCGATGACCAGAACGCGAACGTGCTCCCACAACCACTTCAGCCTCTTCTACATGACCCCCGGCCTCATCTTCGCGTCGATGTACTTCTGGACTCGCAGGGTACAGGCATTGTGCAGCGCTCTGGCCTTCACTGTCTCCGCGGAGATGTTCTTCGCCTGCGCGTTCGAAGGCCACGACCATCACGGCGCCCTTGTCCTGCGCCGACGAGGGCCACGCATACTCCGCCACTGGGAAAACGACCTTCTGCACCGCGTGCGTATTCCCCGAGCCGCCCTGGCCCAGCAGGAGCAAGTGCGTCGCGTTTCTTTCGCCCCAGGACTTCTTCTGCACGTCGTCCTCCCAGGCGTCGTCGCAGGCCTTCGCGAACTTGGCGACGAAGAGCGTCTGGCCCCGCGTGAGTCTCTCGTTCTCCGGCAACCCAGCGACCAGGGCGGCTATGTACGCGCTGGGCGTTGAGTACACGCCGCGGGCAAAACTGGCCGCAGCGGGGTCGTCAGCGCCCGCGTCATCCTCGTCGCGATTGCCCTGGAGGCGGTCGTCATGCAGGTTTGCCCAGGCGCGTCTCTCCTCGCGCGCTGCGGTCACCAGCGGTCGGTATCTGGCCGCGGCCGCAGGAGCGGTCGCGGCCTCCGTCGGCCCGGGAGCACCCGCGCCCTCGCGGGCCGCCTCGGACATGCACGGGAGCGCGAGGAGCTCCTTGGCAAACCTCGTGAGGCGCTTGCGGTGCGCGAAGTTCAACGCGTCCGCCACGTCCTGCCCCCCGTCGATGCCCCAGGTCGGAACCGGCTGGAAGTGCGCTCGGACCGCCGAGGGGGACGCGCCCGGGTGTTCCACGCCCTCGCCCGCCACGGCGCCCTCGTCCTGACCGGCGCCTCCACCGGTGGTCGCCTTGAGGCGCGCGCTCTGCGCGGCCGCGTCGCTCCGGCACTGCCAGGGCTTCATCCCCTCGCGTGCCAAGGCGATTCCCTCGAGGTTTGGCGCCACCTGCATGGCCACCATGGAGGCGCAGCGGCGCACCGTCGCCCTGGGTTTCTCTCTGTCGGGGCAAGGGGCGGGGCCCAGAGAGTCGCCCTCCCCGCCCTCGCCCTCCGCCCGCGCCTGGTGCAGCGCGAAGCATTCCTCCTGCACCTCCTGCGCCTCCCAGATCGAGGGCCACTCGTGCCGCGCGAGGAAACGGGCCGCGGCGACGCGGGCCTCCTCGTCCGCCTGGGCCTCGAAGCGCGCCCAGGCTCGCGCGAAACAAGTTGAACCGCGCGCATTCATGTCAAGGGGCGCGCCAGGGGCCTCCATCATGGGCGCGAACGCCTGCAGCATGCGCTCGTCCTCCGGCGTCTTCGAGTTCCCCGCGTCCAACAGCCCCAGGAGCAACTGCTTGAAAAGACAGGCAGTCTCGCAGTCTTGGCTCAGCGTCGGCACGGTGAAGCCCTCGAAGAGGGGCGCGCGGAGCTCGGGGTCCAGGGGCTGTTTGCGGGTTGCGCACAGGGCGCAGCGCGGCGCAAAGTCGAAGTCCAGGTGCCGCGCGCGGGCCTTGTCTCTCCACAGGCCGTCGGGCTTCTCGCATCGGTAGACCCACATTGCATGCACCTGCGAACTCATGTGCTTGAGGACCGGGTCGCCGCCGCGGCGCAGCCAGTCGCCCAGAGTGCTCGTGGCCCTCACGACGCAGAAGCCGCCCCCCGTCTTCGGGGCCCCCTCGCTCTCGCAGCCCATGTCCTGCATGAACTTCGCCAGAAACGACGCCGCCTGGCGATGCTCGGGCGCGTCGCGCGCCGCCTTGGTCGCGACGTCGTGCTCGTCGGCCGCCAGGGTGTCGGGGAAGCGCCGGCCTTCCGGACTCACGCGCACCGCCTGCCCGCCGCTCTCCTTTTCCTCGCGCCGCCCCTCGAGCGTGCACGGGTCGACGCCGCGCCCGAGGCACTGCACCAGGGCGCGACCCCCGTCCTGCGCGGTCTTGCGTCGGAGAGAGCGCCCGCGCTCGCGTCGCCACGCCTCCGCCGCCGAGAAGACGCCTTTCTTGATGGAGACCGTCCAGCAGCAGTGGGACGCGTAGGCGAGGTGGCCATGAAAGATCGGGAACAGCATCTCTGGCCCGCTCTTCCAGTAGCATCGGCGGTACGACGCGGACAGATTCTTCGCGAGATCCAGCGTCTCCCCGAATTGCATTTGCCCCCGAGCGCTCTCCAGTCGGCGGCGGACATACTCTTCTCGGGGTCCTCTCCGCGCTGCGGCAGCTCCAGCTTCATATTGTCCTGCTGCGCCTGTCGCTGCGCCTGCAGCCGCTCCAGGCCGCGCCGCATCTCCACGAGGACGCCCTCCATGCTGGGGCGCTGGTTCGTCGTGTAGGAGTTGATGTAGAAGCCCGTGTTCAGGCCGTCGCTGAGCGCGGCCTGGGCGCCCAGTTCCAGCTGGTCTGCGGAGGCAATCGCGGCGCCCGCGTCCTCCGCGCCCTCGCTCTCCGCGTCCTCCGTCAGGCACTGCCGCAAAATGTCCCGCCACTCCTCCGGCGAACAGTCGTCCGTCCACGAGAGCGGCCACCCTGGGGCCTCCGGGCGGCTCACGCATGCGTCGGCACCGCCCAGCTCGCATACGCCCATGTGCCCCGGCTTGGGTTGCGAGCCGACGCGCGGGAACACCTCGCCCACGTCCAACCAAGCTTTGGGGTCGCTGACTCGTCGGAGGCCCTGCGCGCCCAGGTTGAAGCGCCCCGCCGCGGCGCCGGCGCAGTTGGTAATACACTCAGACGGGCGGGGTTGGAAGTGCAACAGACGACCCTGCATGCCGCGCGCCGAGGACCGCACCGCAAACATGGCGTTCCGCAGAGGCCCCCCTTGCCTGCGCCTGCGCCAATCCGCGAGCGCGACGATGCAGTGGAAGCCGCGGCGGCAGATCTTCGCGGTCTTGTCGCCCGAGTACCTGCAGCAGCTCTCCCCGCGCACGCGCGCCATCGTCTCTTCGGCGAGCTCCCGGACGTCCTTCGAGAAGAGGCGCTCCCAGACCTCAGGACTCTCTTCCGTTCCTGGCGGGGGCGGCGACGGCGGCGCCTCCTCGCCGGCGGCGAGCGTCGCCAGGCCGACTCCTGGCTGCCGCGACTGAGCCACGGGCGCGTCCGAGCAGACCGTCGGGACAACCCCGCGGGCCGCTGGCTCGCCCGCGCCGGCGTCTTGCCGCGCGAGGCCGCGCCGCCGGCACGCGGGGCATGCCCCCACGGCAAAAGCATCGATGGGCATGCCGTATGGAGACGCCCGCGGCGGCGCCTTCTCCCCCGGCGCCAGCTCGCGGCCTGTGGCGCCCCGCAACGGCAGATCGGGCCGGAGCCAGGAGCCCCGGTCCTCGGTCTCCAGGAAGGTCTCCTGGTCCTCAGCCAGCTCCGCGCCCGCCTGCTTCTCTTCGCGGAGCGCGCCCAGCTCGCTGCCCCCGTCGAAGCGCGACTGGTCTCGTTCGATGACAGAGAACGGCAGCGGGTCCAGGCGCTGGCCCGCGCGCCCGAAACGCCGCGGCAACACCTCCACGGAGCTCTGGCAAGTGCTCTCCACGGCCACGACGCACGCTTTCATCCACTTGCCCAGGCGCTCTCGGGAAGCAGCAGGATGGCGTCGGAGCACGCGCGCGAGCTGGCGCGTCGGGAGGGCGCACAACCACACCAGGATGCGTGGATGGAGCGATCCCCACCCTTGCGCCTCGATCTCTCCGCGGAAAGCTCACGCGGGCCCAGAGATCCCTGGAGCGGTCGAGGACGCCGCCACGCCGTCGGTGCACAAATCCCAGGAGCAGCGTTTCCTGGGAGGAACGCCGCGCCAGCGGCCGCCCACGCACTCGGGGCGGACGCCGAGGACGCGGGCGAAGAAGAGGCGCATGATGAGCTCGAAACATACGGTCTGGCCGACCGGGTCCTGGGCGACGCGCCGCAGCATGTCTCGGTACTTTGGGGTGACGTCGCTGCGCAGGCCTGGAATGCCCCGGTCGTCGAGCGGGATCTCCTGGCCCTCCACCCTGACGGACAGCGGCTGCTTCTTGTCCGCTATGTTCGGGGTGGCGAAGATCAAGGGGCACCCACAGAACGCCATGTAGGCAACCCCCTCGTGGCGGCAGAGGCGCCGATGTCCGTCGGTGCCGACGACGTCCGCGACGGCCATCTGCATGATGTTCAGGGCGTCCCGTACCACGTTGGGTACGTCGGCGTTGCTTGCCAGAGCCGCCACGCCGCCGCCGCCCGCGTGAACGCGGGCGGCCGCAGCCAGGGCATCCGGGGTGAGGTGCCGCACTTTCTCGGCCCACTTCATGCCTCCGTTTTTCAGGAAAGCGAAGGCGGACTGGCGGCGCTCCGTCAAGAAGTGCAGCGTGGCGAACATGCGCAGCGACACCCAATCGGCCGCGAACCGGTTGACCTCGGGGTCGTCGTCGTTCTCCCGCACGCGGTGCGGCTTCTCTTCGTCGGTGTCCAGAATGCACTCCATCTCCTCGCGCATGCACAGGCACGTGATCCATTCGTGCGCGAGTAACTGCGGGTGGGTCCCCGTTCGTTTCGGGCCCAGGTGGCCGGCGTCGCCGCAGCGCCACAGGCTCGGGCGCGCCTGCGCCCGCACCTCCCACTCGAACAGCGACAGCAGGGGCGCAGTGCCGCGCGGCAGCTCGAGGTTCGACATGGCGGCCTCGGCCCCCGCCCGTCGAGGACCGAACGGTTCGTCAAGCGCGGCGCGCGGGATGTCCTCTTGCAGCCGCAGCTCCCGTTTCGGAGGCGACATGCGGGGAGCGCGGTTTGTAACGGACTCGCAGAGCTGCAAGACGCGCCCCCTGCCCGCCTCGTCCAGCAGCGCGCAGTGGCGTGCTCTGTCTCCTTGGCCACGGAGCGGCGCGCGGTCGCGTCCAGTTCCTCCAGCGGCTTGATAAGTGCCGTCACCTCCAGAGCCCCAGCCGAGGCGGCCGGGGCCGGGGTGTCCTCCTCCCTGAACGCGCTCACGTACCGGGACTCCTTGCACGCCTGCACATCGTTGCCCTCCAGATCCTGCGCCCCGGCCGCCGCGGCATCGGCGGGGCCCGCGGCCGCCGCGACGTCGCCGGGCGACTCCTCCAACGGCACAGCCACGACGCTATCCAACTCCACGGGGGGCACCTGAGGAATCAGCGGGTTCGAGCGCCACTGGGCAACCGGCTCCCCGTCGTACGTCTTGTCCTTGTAGACGACGTTAGGGGCCCACAAAGGACGCACGCGCACAGCCATGCACATGAACACGGCCCCTCGACCCGCGAGACCGGCCGCGCGATACAAACATTCGCGCAAAGCGAACTCTCGAAACCAGCGTGGATTCATGCACGCGCACGTCCTTCTTTCGCTCCTGAGACGCTCGTGGACTGCAGCGCCTGCGCCTGCGAGTCGAACTCTGCGCCGTTGACCTTGAGGCGCGCGACGCCCCGGACGGCGCGCCGGGCGGCGTCCTGCTGCCTGGCGGCGTCGCCAGCCAGACCCTCGCGGCGCCGCTGTCCCGCTGCGTTCTCCGGGGCGTCTGGCGACTGCCCCTTCGCCGCGTCCTGCTTGGCTGCCAGGAAAATCACCGCGAGCGCGTCCTTGATGGAAGCCGGAAGGAAACGCCCCATGGCCTCCTTGCACGACGCGCTTCCGGAAAGGATTGCGGAGCCCACCATGCCCGTCAGGTGGGAGAGAAAGTCCCACGTGGGCCCGTCGCCGCTGCGCTGCTTGTCGTAGCTCCCGGGGCGCAGCACCACTGTGGTCGTCACGACGCGGGCGAGTGCGAGGAGCATCTGGTGCGACTAGTTGGCACTGCGGAAGAGCGGGTCGTTCCTGCCGAGCCACAGGTGGCTAGCGAAGGTGAACTTGCACATGCGCGGGTGGCGGAGAGAGAACGCGCCCAGGCAAGGCCCCCGCTCGATCGCTCCTCAAAATTCAAGCCTGAAGACCCCCAAAAGTGACGACAGTCGACAATTACAGGTTGCCGATGACCCGCTCGGATTACCAACATGAAATGTGGGCCCCATAGGGAGGAGGCCCCGCCTGAGACTTCCTCGCAATTCACTCACAGACGAGGCTCCAGCCTGAGACCCCCTCTATACTCGAGCCTGAGGAGCCCAGAAGTGACGGTTGCAAGTTCTGGATGACCCGCTCGGATTACCAACATGAACTGCGGGCCCCATAGGATGGGGGCTCGCGCCTGGGACTTCCTCGCAATTCACTCACAGACGAAGCCCCCGCCTGAAACTTCCTCCATACTCAAGCCTGAGGAGCCCAAAAGTGACGACGAGTTCCCGATGACCCGCCCGGATTACCAACGTGAAATGCGGGCCCTATAGGGAAAAGGGCTCCCGCCGGAGACTTCCTCGCAATTTACTCACAGACGAGGCCCCCGCCTGAGACTTCCTCCATACTCAAGCCTGAGGAGCCCAAAAGTGACGACAGTTACAGATTTCCGATGACCCGCTCGGATTACCAACATGAAATGCGGGCCGTATAAAAATGAGGGCTTCCCCCTGAAATTTCCTTGCAATTCACGCACCGACGAGGCTCCCGCCTGAGACTTCCTCCATACTCAAGCCAGAGGAGCTCAAAAATGACGACGGTTACAAGTTTCCGATGACCCGCTCGAATTAACGAGATGAAGTGCGGGCCCCATAGGGATGGGGGCCCCCGCCTGAGATTTCCTCGCAATTCACTCACAATCGAGGCTCCCGCCGACGACTTCCTCCATACTCAAACCTGAGGAGCCCAAAAGTGACGACAATTACAAGTTTCCGATGACCCGCTCGGGTTACCAACATGAACTGCGGGCCCCATAGAGAGGGGGCTCCCGCCTGAGACTTCCTCGCAATTCACTCACAAACGAGGCTGCCGCTTGAGACTTCCTCTATACTCGAGCCAGGAGGTCAAAAGTGACGACAATTACAAATTCTGGATGACCCGCTCGGATTAGTAACATGATCTGCGGGGCCCATAGGGAGGGGGCCCCCGCCTGAGACTGCCTCACTATTTACTCACAGACGAGGCTCCCGCTTGAGACATCTTCCATCGTCAAGATGGGGAGTGAGTGATGACGAAGTGATGGGTGAATGATGATGATGATGATGATGCTGATGATGATGAGTAAAGGAGTGATGATTATGAATAGAGATTCAGTGTGTGAATGTGACGATGCTGGTGATCATGAAAGCGTGTGAGTGTGTGATTGCTGGAGATGACGATGCTGATGAATGAAGGAGTGGGTGGGAGTGAGTGATGCGGAGGAGAGAGGGGTGTGGGTGAAGACTGCGCGGGGTGCCCAGCGAAAACAAGAAGCCCACTTAGGATGCGGGGAACAAGAACCCCACTTTGGATGTGGGGAAAGGTCATGTTGAGTGATGAGAGTGTGTGGGTTATGTGCGACAGAATATGATGATGACGGGGTGGTGGTGATGCTGCTGATGATGACGATCAATGGCCGATGGTGATGGTGATCGATGGTGAGTGACTGCGTATGACGATGATGGGGATGGTGATGATGATGACCGATGGTTATGATGACCGATGACGGGGTGAATGCGTGAGTGAGGCGGAGAGTGGGAAGGAGGTTCCCGCGCGAAGGGTGTCCAAAGAAAACAAGAACCCCACTTGGGATGTGGGGAATGAAATGCGGGCCCCATAGGGAGGGGGTCCCCGCCTGAGACTTCATCATAGTTTACCATAGTTTACTCACGTCTCCCCGCCGGATCCTTCCTCTATATTAAAGCCTCGGGAGCCCTAAAGTGACGACAATTTCACGGTTGAGGATGACCCGCTCTGATTAAAAACATGAGGTGCGGGCCCCATAGGGAGGGGGCTCCCGCCTGAGACTTCCTCGCAGATCAGTCACAGACGAGGCTCCCCGCCTAATACTTCCCCTATATTCAGGCTTCGGGAGCCCCAAAGTGACGACGGTTACACGGTTGGGGATGACCCGTTCGAATTACCAACATGAAGTGCGGGCCCCACAGGGAGGGGGCTCCCCCCTAAGACTTCCTCGCAGTTCACTTACACACGAGGCCCCCCGCCTGATACTTCCCCTATATTCACGCCTCGGGAGTCCCAAAGTGACGACAGTTACAGGGTTGAGAATGACCCGCTCGGATTAAAAACATGAAGTGTGGGCCCGGGCCCCATAGGGAGGAGGGCCCCCGCCTGAGACGTCCTCGCAATTCACTCACAGACGAGGCTTCCGCCTGATACTTCCCCCATATTCAAGCTAGCGAATGAGTGGGTGAGTGAGTGAACGACTGAATGAATGATGATGATGATGATGATTATGATGATGATGATGATGACGATCGTGATGATGATGATGATGCTGCTGCTGATGATGATAGTGATGACACTCCTCCCAGGGTGGGAGGGTGGGAACCGAAGACAGGCTATGGAGGGGGGAGAGCGGGGACAGGTGAGAGAGGGCACTCCGATGTGTAAACTTCCATGGATCGTTTAGCAGGTATTGACATCACCGAATTCAAAAAGCCCAAGCTCAAACCGTTCAAGAACATATAGAGCAACTCTTTTTTCACATTGCAGGGACATGAATCTGACGAAAGCCTCGAAATGTCCAGGCCAGAGGTTAAAGTCGCTGCACGCTCTCACTCCTCCCCAAGTTTCCCGAATACGGGAGTTCACTAGGGTTGGGAAGGGAGGGGTCTTGAGTTGTATCCGAACGTGGCGACGCAAGCGGCAGCGAGCGCTCGAACTATACAGTGCGCGAGCTCAGGCGGGCAGGCGGCCGCTGGACGGGCGCGGGCGCTTCCTTCGAGCTGGAAATGAGGGAGGCCTGTCCGCGAGCACCGTCCTTTCTGACCACGGCATTTTCTGCGCAGATTCTGAAGGTCGTCAACTGCTACGCGACAGAACATCAGGCGGGTTGGCTTCTTACATAGGGCTCTGAATTGGCACTGGTCTAATTCAACTAAACTGACATGCGGCAGGTGGGCTAAAGCTTGGATCTCTGCGGCGCGCCACAGACGAGAGGTGAGCGGGTGCTCGAGAACGGCAAGGATCTTGAGCCGATGGAAAAAAGCAAATAATCCTATGGCGGCGTGGGCAATCTGATTGCCTACTTTGACCTTTTCTCGGTCTGTGGCGCTGAGCAGCTGTCTGGGCAACCCCCAGGGCACATCCGGGGACCGGATCTCTGCTGTCCGATCCCGCGCGATTGAAAAGGTTCGGCACGAAGGGGCCAAAGCTGCTGCCAAGATTAGGCCCCGACGGGCGTCGCGTCGGATTGCCCGAAGGACCTTCGGGTCAACAAGATTCTGCCAGACTGGATCATGGGCTACATCCCAACTGCGTGTCCTGAAGCCTAGTTTATCGCCTGCACGCGAGACGCACTGGCTCCCGGCAAAAGAGCCCGCTACATACCGGCCTCTGAGGCCAAAACGCTGCGCGGCGAGGCGTCTCTCGCGACAGCCGCGGGAGGTCCGCCTTAGCTTGGCACGAGCGACTGCCAGGTCCGCATCCGCATCTCCTCTAGGGCGCGCGAGAGTCTGCTGGCGTCGATGATCGCGCCTGAGCGGCGAAGGTGGCACAGCGTCAGCCTGTCGACCCCGTCCTCGGCCGCCGCCAGCTGCACCGCCTTTGAAAGCTCTAGGTACGCGAAAGGCCACAGCATCGGCCGGTCTCCGCTCCCTCCGGGCTCGGGGAATAGAGGACCTGGCCCCTGGAAGTAGCTCGAGTCCAGGAGGCGCCCCTCGTCGTAGCGATTTGTTTTGCTCGGTCTTCCCTCTTCCTCGGGGTGAGTCGGAAGGCTCCAGCTGCCCACTGTTGCACGCGACGGTGGGGCCAGGGCGCACCTTCGAGCTGCCACCAGGGAAGAGGACCTGGAACAAGCGGAGAGGCCCACCGCTAAGAACAGAGCCATGAGCGGGAGGCCCTTGTCCGCCAGCAGCCACACCCCCGGCGGCTGCACGGCGAACGGCAGTGCTCGGCGGGTCCGCGAGGGCGCCCGTCGTCTCCACGCCTCCAATGCTTGCCACGTCCGCGGCGGGGCCCCCCCGCCCCGCTGGCCGAAAGCTGGGCGCCGGTCCACCCGGGCAGTTCCAGTCTGGTCGCCCAGGCTGATCTGCTCCCCAGACAGGTACATCGCGTTGAAGTAGTCGCACGCCCAGCAGTCCACGGCCTCGTTCGTGCTCCTCACGAGCTTGTCGTTGGTCGGGTCGGCATGCGAGTAAGAACGATCGAGATACTGGGCGTAGCGCTCCCTCGCCCGGCGGGTCACCGCCAGCAACGTGGGCCCCCCGACAACGGCCTGCATGATCATGTCCGTGTGGAGGGCCGCTTGGCGTTGGCGCCGGGAGTCCTGGAGGCGGCGAGATCTCCTCGAAGCCGCCGTCGCATGGTTCACCACGATGTCGGACCCGTTCGACTCGCCTTCTCCCTCGGCGCCCGCCTCGTCGTCGCCAGCGGAGGCCGCGGGAGCGAGGTCCTCGAGCGCCACAGGAGGCGACGCCGGCGGCTGGCAGGGGCGGCGCTCCAAGCGTGTCCTGGTTGGTCGGGCGCCGTGGACCCCCGTCGGCACGCCGAGGCGGGCTCTGGGGCCACGTGCCTCCGTCGCTCTCTGGGGCCCCGTCAGCACTCTCGCCCTCGCCCTCGCCGTCAGCGGAGCACTCGGGCAAGGCGGCGGGCGGGCGCCAGGTCTCGGCCGAACACGTAGCGGTCCTGGAGAGATCGCCCGCACTGGGGCCCACGTCGGCTGCAGCGCCCGAGCACACATCCGTCGGGACAGACTCCTCGGGCACGGAAGCGAGGGAGGCCTGAACATAGTTTGAGCCAATATGGCTACGGAGAGCAGAGAGAGAGGAAGGGGACGAGATCCCAACCTGCTGATCCAAGACATCGGTTAGCAATTTGGGCGAGACTTCCGAGTGATCGCGGCTCCCGGCATCGCTCTGGTTAAACTCCGAAGGGATCCATCTAAAATATGGGGCGATGCCAAGGGCAAGAGCGTAAGCGTTGAAGCGCCGAATCTGGACCAAAAGCTTGAAGTCCTGACTCCTCGAGCGGACAAAAGCTAGGACCACGGCCATATTGTCACACAAGAAAAGCTGTCTGATGCAAGACCCGTGTCTGGCCCTGGCGAGCCTACGGATGGCCTTCACCAAGGCCCGGGCCTCCAGCACCAGAATACCCTCGCTAAGGCCCCAAACCCCCTTCCGGACGGTTTTCCAGGCCGAGCCCCGGAGGAGCTGCCAAGGGACTTCGGGAACATCCGCAACGACCTCCCAGTCGTCTGAAAGAAGATCGTCTCCTAGAAGCTGGCTTCTCCACTCGCCTGACTCGTCACGGAAGAGGTGGGCGGAGGTGAGTGCGGATTCCCGAGCGGAGTGAGCACCGACACGCTTGAAACGGGAGCGCTCGCTGACACGACCGACGCCGGCGACCTGAGCTGGGTCCCAGAAGCTTTGGGCCATCGCCCAGCCCGCTAGGCTGGCGTCGGTTTCTAAAACGCAAGGGTTCCATGGCAGCCACCAGTCGCGGCCCAGAAGCAAAAGGACCCCTCTAAAAGCTACGAGCTCTTCGACCACTTTTGGCCACATCGGGCCCACGTCGAGATACTGAACCGAAATGAACATATAGACGGTGTGGAAGATAGACAGGGACCCACGAGCCGCCAGGCCGCAAAACGTGCAATGCCCGATTACTTTTTCAAGCGCCTGGCCGCTGCAACGCCCCCGAGCGAGAAGGCCAGTTAAGCCTCGCTCGAGCTTCCAAAACCGGCTCGAGGTGATCCCCGAGCGAAGGCGGACGCCGTCAAGCTCGGTGCCGAGAGCCTCACCAGCGCCCCCGTGGGACTCTGACTTGTGGAGCGCCAGCCCGACCGGCTCGAAAAGAGCGCTCCATTCTGACACCATCCTCTCGCTGAGATCGGCGTCGTCCGACACGGCGGATAGGTTGTCACGTGCACGTAGGCGCCCCCGACCCCGCGCGAGGCGGCGCGAAGCACGAAGGCTTCGGCCTGGTCCTGAATCAGGGGCTGCTGCCTGCCGGCCGGCATCGCCTTGCACAGGCTGGGGCTTCGGCACACCCTGTCCTCATTCGCGGCCTGGGCCAGGTACAACGACCACGTGAACCCCATCGGCAGCACGGCCAAGTAGGGCCGCACGGGAGCGTCTGGCGGGGTCTCCGCTGGGACGCCGGCCACCTGCAGGCCGTCGAACACGTACTTGGGGACGGCGGGCAGGCAGAAGTAGCGGCCGAGGCCCTCGCGCACGCGCATCCGGTAGAAGCAGTCCTTCACGTCGGTGGTGGCCACGTAGACGGCGAAGGCACCCAGGAGCCGCTGCCCCTCAACTGACGAGGGCAGAACACCAGGCGGCAACTCGATCTCGATCCGGCCGAAACCCTCACTGCTGAGAAGCTGCACGCCTGGCGGAGCTCTGAAGTGGCCGTTGCTCCGCCTCGCATCAATTATCATACGCTGTGCCCCGTTCGTTTCAGCTACGAAAAACAGGCCCACCGACTCGGCGGGCCTGGCTGTTACACCAAGAAGTCCGCGGCCAGCAAGATCTCGCAGAAAGGCACAGTAGGATTTGGGGTTCCTCTTCAGCGCCGGGTCCATGTATAGCCGCGGCATGCTGTCGAAGTTGACTGACTCCGGCTCCAACCTCATACGCTTGTGGTTCTCCTCCAAGAACGAGCGGCACCGAGGGCTCACGATATCCTCAATGAAGCGGCAGTCCAGCACGCTGTCGGGAAGTGAGACCATGCCGGGCAGGTAGGAGACGAGGTTCCTTGGGGCCAAGTCCGTCTCGTACACGGACTGCCCCCGGAGCAGTTCCCTCAGGGCTGCCTCCGCCTTCGGCATCACCTGCGGAGCTGCGGCCTGTCGCCGAAGAGCTTCACGAAGCAAGTGTTGCTGAAGGGCTGCATGCTTGTCCAGGGTCGTTGCGCCCGGACTCGGTGAAGCGGCCGCGCCCTTGAAGCCGGCCAACCAGTTCAAGCTGCGGAGGGCGCGACTCACCAATTCCACCTCGTGCTGCCGAGCGCGAGTCCTGTGCTGCGACCTGCGCCCACGGGCGGAGCCGCCCGGCGCAGCCATCATCGGCACGGGGAACAGGTCTCTCTCAAAATCGGACGGCGGCAGCGGCGAGGCGCGGGCCAGATTGTGGTACCAGCCGGGGGGGGCCCATTCCCCCGGCTGCGCCTTCTCGGTCATGACTGGACCGGCGGGGGGAGCCCCGGGGTGCGACCTCCGCGGGCACGACCGCCGCGACCTCGCCCCCTGTCCCCACCGCCGATCCTTGTGGTGGCACCCTCAGCGCCCGGCTGGGTTGCAGCAGATCCCGACGTCACACGAGCATCCGCAGCCTCGGCCTTCCTCACGGACTGCTCGACCTCACAGTCCTCCTTCATGTGGCGGGCCACGTGGCTCCTCGGCGGCGGCGCCGTCGACTCGTCCGACTCGCCCAGCGGAGCCAAGTACTTGGCGGTGGCGAACGAGGGGGCACCAGCGCACTTGTAGGCGTCCACGGTCACGTTGAGCCGGCGCTCGGCCACCACAAGGCGGGCGAGCCCCCCCAGGTTAGCCTGGTCGAAGGATCCGGCCTCCTCTCAAGAACTTCTCGAGCCAACTCCGAGGCGTGCCCGTCGTGCGGTACATCATCTTGCAGGTGTGCAGGCGAGTCAGGCCGCCCTCCTGACGCTGGTGGCCCTCGACACAGTCCACCGACTCGTTCGCGGCCTCTCTGAACTCCTTGTACCGCTCCCCTTGGCCGTCCCACTCGATCCAGAACATGCGAGTGTCATCTCGAGCGGCGTCAGCCAAAGCAACAGTCGACGGAACGCCATCCCGGGCGGGAGCGCCCTCAGCGCCGCTGGCAGCGGCGCCATCCAGGACACCGCCCGGGGGAGAGGAGCCGAGCGTCGCCACGGGAACTGCCACCTCCAGGAGACGGCCCAGCTCGGCCACACGGCGTGACGCCCAGCCTGCCACGTCGTCCCGCGGCACCAGCTCCAGACGAAACGCCCGTCCGCGACGAAGCCCGGGGGCACCCAATCCAGCGCCAATGAGCGTCTCGTTCGACGGGTCCGTGATCGCGCCGATGTCCAGGTCGACCACTGGCTCGGTCAGCGCCCAGACGTGCCCCTGCTTCCCGTGGAGTCGGTGCGACGGGCACGGCGGCGCGGCCCACGGGAACACCTCCCCGCCATCCAGCAGCATGCCAAAGGCGAGCTCCACGTGGGCGGGCCCCCCGGCAGCCGCCTGCCCGCGAGCCTCCATCGCCAGTCGGCACCCGTCGGCCAGCTCCACGAGCCGAGTAGGGGTCGGCCGCTCGCCGAAGCTGCACAGCTTCCGGCCATCAGCAGGCGATGCACCCCCGTCGGCGATGCGCTCGTCGTCCGAAGGGCCGTCGGTCAGTGAGGCCCCCGAGAGCAGCTCCTTCCACCAGTAGCCGTCGGGCGAGAGGACCCAGTAGAAGTGCGGACCCACCCGCTCGACAACCTCCTCTCGCCGCGAGGGCCACACCAGAGCCTCACTCGGTGGCACGGGTCCAGGCCGAAGGGGGCTCGCTCGCCAGTCCAGACCAGCTATCAGCGCCACGCACAAGGCCGGCAGCGCAGTGGGCCCGCCGGAGGCGGGCATGCGGCGCGCCGCCCGTCCTTAAACCGAAGACAGGCTATGGAGGGGGGAGAGCGGGGACAGGTGAGAGAGGGCACTCCGATGTGTAAACTTCCATGGATCGTTTAGCAGGTATTGACATCACCGAATTCAAAAAGCCCAAGCTCAAACCGTTCAAGAACATATATGATGATGATGATGATGATGATGATGATGATGATGATGATGATGATGATGATGATGATGATGATGATGACGATGATGCTGATGATGATGATGATGATGATGGTGATGATGATGATGATGATGAGGATGAAGATGATGCAGATGATGAGTGAGTGGGTGAGTGAGTGGGTGTTCGCTGTGCATGAGCGAATGTGAGTGTGAGTGAGTGTGTTCCTGTGTGTTCCTGTGTGTTCCTGCGCGGGGTGCCCAGAGAAAACAATAACCCCACTTTGGATGTGGGGGAAAATGCAACAAATAACTCCAAACAGATGCAAGAACAGTTTTCAAAATCGTCCCCATACTATTTTGACTATTTGTGACTATCCCTCCTATAGAGGGACAGGCCCGACTTAAGCCTAGATATCAGAGAGAGCGTGATCCGCCGCCGCTTTACTCTGGAAAATTGCCAGCCTTTTCCTCCGGAGCCCGGGGGTCGCCCCCCACCCCCCCCCGAAAATCCCCCCCCCCCCCCTGCTGGACCCCCCCCCCCCCTCCCCCGGCAAAAAAAAAACCCTCCCCTAACCCCTCCCCGCCCCCCCCCCTCCCCCCCTCGAAAACCGGGGGGGTCACTACCGGTTCGAATCCCTCCCCCCCCCCCCTCCGGATCTGGAAAACCGGGGAGGGGTCACTACCGGTTCGACCCCCCCCCCCCCCCTCGAAAACCAGAGGGGGGTCACTACCGGTTCGACCCACCTCCCCCCACGCACCGCCAGCAAACGACTCCCAGTCCCTACCACCGCCCGCATCACATCCCCCACTGTTGTTCCCTGCACCACTGTCCTCACCACCACTGTCCCCACTGGTTCCACCACCGTCCCTACTGTCCCCACCAGTGCCCCCACCACTGTCGCACTGTCCCCACTGTTCCCACCACTGTTCCCACCACTGTTCCCACCACTGTTCCACTCTCCCCACTGTCTCCACGGACCCAACCACTGCCCGACTATCCCCACTGTCTCCACTGTCCCACTGACTCCTCCGCTGTCCCACTGAGCTGTCCCACTGTTCCCACCACTGTCCCCACTGTCCCCACCACTGTCCCCACTGTACCTCTGTCCCATTGTCCCACCGCCGTCCTCGCCACCGCCTTCACCACTGTCCCCACCACCATTGTACCCTCCACTGTCCCACTGTTTCCACCTCATTCCCACTGTCCCCACACCACTGTCCCCACCACCACCGTCCCCACCACCACCGTCCCCACCACTGTCCACTGTCCCCCCCGTTCCCGCCATTGTCCCCACTACTGTCCCCACCACTACCGTCCCCACCACTGTCCCACTGTCCCACTGTCCCCACCACTGTCCCGCTGTCCCCTCACCACTGTCCCCATCAGCACCGTCCCCACCACTGTCCGCACCCCCACTCGGTTTTCGAGGAGGGGGGGGGGGGTTCGAACCGGTAGTGACCCCCCCCGGTTTTCGAGGGGGGGGGGGGGGTTCGAACCGGTAGTGACCCCCCCCCCTTTTCATGATGAACTGGGGGGGGGCGGGGGGGAGGGGTTCGAACCGGTAGTGACCCCCCCCGGTTTTCCGCCAGCAGCGGTAGAACACGCTCTTTCAGATATCAGGACGTGCCCGGCGCTCCCTCCCCAACCCCCGACGTCATGTTTTTTTTTCAATTCGTTGACCCCCAGAGGCCTCGGCCCCCTCCCCGGGGCCGGTTTCTCACCACATATCGTTTTTTGACGGTCCCGGGGCCCAGCAAGGGCCCCCAGAAGCCGAAGATTGCGAAAAGCGTTGCGTCGTGCTTCCTCGTGACTCGAGGGGGTCTAGGTCAGCAGCCCTCAAGGCCCCAGAAGTGCTTCCAAGGATGCTTCCGAGGAACCCCGAAGAGGACCGCGGGGGCACCCAGAAGCCCTGGGTGAGAGAGAGGGGGGGGAAACAAACAACAACAACAACAACAACAACAACAACAACAATCACTTTACCCGAACGCTCAGTGTTCTCACCAGTGCCAGGGTTTTCATGCGACGCCAGCCAATACCCCCACTTTGTGGGGGGGCAGTGCAAGCTCTACCAAATATCCACACGACTCTTCGCCACCACCCACACCCAGCTTCCCGCCCTATGACGTTCGGACACTTCACTTCGTGGCCTGCGGACGACCGTGGCTACTACACTGGCGTGGAGTACACACCCACAGAAGTTGTTAGGACAGCGCGCGCGGGTGGAAATTTTGAAAAGTCGTGCAGGTGTTTTTCGAGGACCTACGGTGCGATTCGTGTGATTTTATGATGCGCGGTGCTAAAATTCTTAAGAACCCAATGGTTTTTGGAGATTTCGGCGTGCGCGCGCGAAGAAAAAACGAATGTGTCCCGCATGGTATTATTTGACAGGGATGATGGCCCTGGCAGGTGCGCAACCGTTGTCGCAGAAGTTCGAAAAAGTTGCTCGCAAAAGCCCGTTTGACAGAAATGTTGAAAAAGTGTTGGGTTTCCTACGAATCCGCAAGAGCGCGCGGGATGAGATTTTGACATTTTTTTGTTGAAAAACCATTGGTTTTTTGATGTTTTTATGTTAAAATCGCTCCGAACACTAAGCTTTTGGAAGGATTTCGTCTTGCGCGCGCGAATGTCCACTTTACCTTATTTTTTGCAAGGATTCTTGAAATTTGATTATATTAGAACAAGAAATGTCATTTTATAGTGTTTTTTGCAAGGGAAAGCGGGGGGGAACAAAACAACCGGATCTTGATCACATCGAATTACCTGAGGCTTCCTCACGAAAATGATGAAAATGTAGCTGCGGCCTAGGCGGCGCAGGGGGGCCGTGCACCAGGGGCCCAAACAATAATTATTCTTTAGAATTAATAATGTTCAACAACAACAATCACTTTACCCGAACGCTCAGTGTTCTCACCAGTGCCAGGGTTTTCATGCGACGCCAGCCAATACCCCCACTTTGTGGGGGGGCAGTGCAAGCTCTACCAAATATCCACACGACTCTTCGCCACCACCCACACCCAGCTTCCCGCCCTATGACGTTCGGACACTTCACTTCGTGGCCTGCGGACGACCGTGGCTACTACACTGGCGTGGAGTACACACCCACAGAAGTTGTTAAGCCTACGTTCGTACACCCACAGAAGTTGTTAAGCCTTTTGTAGGATTCGGACAGCGCGCGCGGGTGGAAATTTTGAAAAGTCGTGCAGGTGTTTTTCGAGGACCTACGGTGCGATTCGTGTGATTTTATGATGCGCGGTGCTAAAATTCTTAAGAACCCAATGGTGTTTTGGATTTTTCGGCGTGCGCGCGCAAAAAACGAATGTGTCCCCGCATGGTATTATTTGACAGGGATGATGGCCCTGGCAGGTGCGCAACCGTTGTCGCAGAAGTTCGAAAAAGTTGCTCGCAAAAGCCCGTTTGACAGAAATGTTTAAAAAGTGTTGGTTTTCCTACGAATCCGCAAGAGCGCGCGGGATGAGATTTTGACATTTTTTTGTTGAAAAACCATTGGTTTTTTGATGTTTTTATGTTAAAATCGCTCCGAACACTAAGCTTTTGGAAGGATTTCGTCTTGCGCGCGCGAATGTCCACTTTACCTTATTTTTTGCAAGGGATTCTTGAAATTTGATTATATTAGAACAAGAAATGTCATTTTATAGTGTTTTTTGCAAGGGAAAGCGGGGGGGAACAAAACAACCGGATCTTGATCACATCGAATTACCTGAGGCTTCCTCACGAAAATGATGAAAATGTAGCTGCGGCCTAGGCGGCGCAGGGGGGCCGTGCACCAGGGGCCCCAACAATAATTATTCTTTAGAATTAATAATGTTCAACAACAACAACAACAACCACCACCACCACCACCACCACCACCACCACCACCACCACCACCACAACAACAACAACAGCAGCAGCAGCAGCAGCAGCAGCAGCAGCAACAACAACAACAACAATAACAACAAAAATCGTCGCGGCGAGGCAGAGGCGATCCGCTCGCGCGTCCGGGCGAGACTGGGGCATGCAATCGCGCATTGGCACGCATGTATGCGTAGAGGCCTCCTAGATGGGGTCGGAGCGGATGGGGCCGAAGAAACACGCCGCATCGGCGATGCATCGGTGACGCCAGCGTGGATTTGGACGCCCGAAATGGGTACGGAACAAATGGGTACAATGCCCAACAACAAGTGTCGTCCCAAACCGGCAGCGGCCGCTGTTGGGCAGGCGGCCTTCTGTCTCAAATAGGCACAGGCCGCGGCGGCGCGGACAGCGAATCCTGTTCAACATGAACAGGAACTGCTGTTGGGCATTGTACCCATATCCTTTCCGTACCCATTCCGTTCGTGCCGAGTGGAGAAAATCGGGTTCGACACCGAGCCGCAACGCCGACCACACCTGCTCGGACCCCATCCGGGAGGCCTCGAGAGTGTCGAGGGGGGCGGCCGCGGAGGGGGAAGCCGGGCGCGGGGGCACTCTCGCGCAGCGGGGCTGCGGCGAGCGCGCGGGGGCGGCCGGGCTAAAGGGCCGCCCCCCGGCAGCCGTCGCGGGGCGGCATCGCGAGAGAGAGAACACGGGAGAGCCGAAAACAGGTGTTTTGTGGGCGCCTGGTCGGGCATCGGTGGCCCGGCCCTATGCTCTCGCGGCCGCTGCGCGCACGGCGGGGAAGATTCCCAGCGTAGTCCGCTGTCGGCGGGACGGACTCCCAGTGTAGCCCGCTGTCCCTCCCTCCATTCGGCGACCAACCTGGGGGAGGAAGTGAGAAGGGGCGGACCTTCCCGGCAGGCTCCGAAGTCCGCCAATCCTTCTGTCCGTGAAACGAAAACGTATAATGTCCGTCGATATGCGAGCATCCTAC